CCTACTTCCGTAGTGATACTGCCTTGGAAACCCAAGGAGGGGTCGCTATGAGTCGGGGCCGACTCGATGGCAAACAACAACGACAAAGTTAGAAAGAAGGGTGTGTGAGGATCCAGCCACTTGCCCTTTACTGCGCCCTTCCTTTTCCTAGGATCCTGTAAAGCCTATGCAAGAAAACATCTAGCTCTCTTAATAAACTTTCATTCTTCACAGCTGGCAAAGGAGAAATTCTGTGACACTGGCTAGGCCTCCCAAAGCAAAAAATCTACCTCAGCACCCTGCCTATAGCCTGCTTGGGACTATGGGATCAAGTCCATTGTCAGACTTAGCATACACTTCAACATGATGTTCTGCTACTTGTGTGGTTTTCTGTTTCTACTGCAGAGCTTCCTGAAAACCAAAATTATATCATGTTTATCTCTGAATCCCCGTCACAGCATGTGTAGGCATTCCACAAATATTTACTGTATAAATAAGTGAATGAGGCTTTACAGGCTCAGCTACTCGTTCCCATTATGGAATATCTTCCCCACTGGCAACTATGGCAGTTTTAAAACATCTCTGCAAATTCTCTGATATTCCTCCCTTCAAAAGGTAGAGCCTTGTCCTCCCCTTGAATGTCAATCACATTTAATGACTGACTAAAACAAACAGAATGGGCTAGAATTAATGCTATGAGTCATCTGAGGAGAGGTCATATAAAGAATAAACTCAGCCTTGCTCTCACTCTTCTTAGATCACTTAGATTGCTCACCTGGGAAAAGCCAAAGGCCATATGATGAGGACACTCAAGCAACTTTGGAGAGGACTATGTGGTAAGAAACCAAGGTCTTTTGTCAATAGCCAGCACCTCTGCCAGAAGAGACAGTAACCTTGGAAGTAGATCCTCTCTAACCCCAGTCAAACCTTCAGATGATTGCAGCCCTGGCTGATTATCTGATTGAAACCTTGTGAGAGCCAAAGCCATAATCACTCAGCCAAACCACTCCCAAATTCCTGACCCACAGAAACTATGAGAGATAATGAATGCTTACTATTGTTAAGCAAGAGAGTTTTAAGGCAATTTGTTACACAGTAATAGATAACCAACATAGCAACCTGGAAGGATATGAGTATTATTTTGTAAGGGGGCTCAAGAGATTTCCTTAATGACAAAGTCAGTTCAGAGAGATGTCCTTACAATCATGTCTTGCTTGTTATAAAAAATTCTACAATTTGTAGTGGCTAATTAATATGCAAACACAAATATCCCACAAATCAAATTATACAGATTAAATTATTAAAATTTAACCACAATAAATACTAGGATGTGGTACAGAACAATATTATAATAAATCCTTTTTGAAGGTTTGCTTGTTTTTGAAACTTTTATAGAAAAATATTCACTAAAACCTTAATAAGGAATATTCTCAGTAATAATAATAGTATTTTTTTTTCTTTTCTCTTTTGTTACCTTTGTTTTCTTCATTTATATTACTAGTGTATTATTTTTTTCACTTTTAAAAGAACTTTTAGAACTCAATTAGGTCAGCAACTATGTTTTATTTGTGTTTCTATTCCTGACACCTCACAGAACAAGCAGCACATAGTAGGTACTTAATAAAGGTACAAAGAATTCATGAATGTCTTTCAGATACAGATCCTGCCTACTGGACAGTTCTATAAAGGGATTCCAGCATCATTTTATGGCAAAAAGTTCAATGATGTGAAAATGCAGCAGTCGATTTTCACAGGAGATAGGTTACTAATTATAGAAAATCATTTCAATGCTGTATTCTTAGGACAGAGTAACCACTTTTCTCTTAGAAACTAAGTATTTTGAGTGATTTATTATAAATGTATAATGACAGTTGTGAACACCTTTTTTTTTTTTTTTTTGGCATATGAACAGAGTCTGTTGATTGCCTTGGTGCTTAAAATAGTTTCTAAGTGTCCTCATAATAGCATGTCACCTGTAAACAGGTTTCAAGCCAATGCAAATTAACAAATGGTGAACAGATGGACTAAGAACTGACTTTTGTCAAGAGAGAGTTAGCAACAAACACTTTTTGGCTCCAGTCTTATGGGACCATTAGAAAGTCTTTTACTTCTCGCCAAATAGCTTGCCTCAGAAGACAATCAGTGCAGGGAAAGTGACAAATTACAAGCCCCATTAGACTTTAGAGAGTTAAAAGTTGAGATACATGGAATCACCAAATCAACACACAAGAAATGACAGATAGAGTAATGTTTCTTAAAAAGCTTTCTGCAAAATAGTAAAAACACTCTCGGTCCTGCATCACTAAAAGAAGCTGTCCCTGTAGTCGAATACCATAGCTGTGCATGCAGCATACAGAAAAACACTTGCCAGAGGCTGGTTGAGTCCGTTCATGCTATCATGGATGCAAAGGTTAACTGTGAAGAAAAGCTGAAAATCCCAGAAATGGTGGTCCTAGAGTGTTCACCAGCAAGAGAAGACACCCAGGAAGCTATCCCTGAGATATCCCCCAGCTC